TTTTTTTTTTTCTGTGATGCACAGGCCCGGGGTTTTCGTTTAGTTTAGTATATTGTACAGTACATAGTAGTTACGATAGTAGTTACCGCTGAAAGGAAGGAAGGAAGGAGTAAAATTTTCTTTTTTTTCTTTTCTAGTGCGGTCACGATGGTTTTCTTCACCATCCTGATGCGGGATGAGATGGGACTCGGAAAACCTTGAGCTTGATAGAATAAACAGGGAACAATGGATAGGGAAGAATGAATGATGGTATGATGAAGAAAGCCAGGATTTGGACTTAGATCGGACGTGCCAGCGTACAGTGTGAAGAGTGGTAACTTATGATGGTATTCTGATTCTGAGTTCGAGTGATGCAGATGTCTGTGGAATCTATCGGCAGCTGGGATCGGACTTTTGGGGCGGTCAACTTGAAGATCGGCGATGAGTTTCGGACTCGCCGTGGTGCGTTAGAGTCAGACTCAGGGTAGATTCTGGTGACCGCGGATAGTATCCGGATGGGAGGCGGGAGAATGGAAATGAATGATGAAAACTCTATAAACCACTGAAGTCTGTTGACAAGCCAGCAAGATTAGTAGATGATATGTCGTCGGATATCTCTGCACTCTCTGATGTTGAGTTTGTCACAGTCGGCCTTATCTAACTTTTAATGTGAGAAACTCATTGAACCTCGTGCGTGCACCATCCTCACCTTCAGCTCTACGAGCAAAACAAAACAAAAACAAATGACCACACCGAAGGGAAAAAAAAGAAAAACAAAAGATTCCGGTACCGGGAATTGAACCCGGGTCTTGTCGGATCGCTGTCATGCTCCACTAAGAAGCTGTTGAAAGCGACAAATGCTAGCCACTACACCATACCGGATGTTGTGTTGTTGGTGAGGAAGCAATTAACAATTTTAAAGACAGTTACCTATTGATTGGGCATGCGCTCAAATGATATCAATCAATCAATCAATTGGGGCATGCTCGTGAGGAGTGGAGAGTGGAGTGGAGAGTAAAAGTATACGTAGACCGTGACAGTGATGATATTGCAACGGTTTGCAACTGAACAAACCAACGCAACGATGATTACCGTGATTGAAGTTTGGGCCATCATGATATGATGATGATGATAACTCTCGCTTATTGCCCTTCATTCCCTATGGGATACGCAGACACTTGCACCAAGTACGGGATAAAATCAGGAAATCCACCCAACCTCATACCCTCTCACTACGACCCACAAACACAGTGTAGCCACCGGCCCTTTGGAGGTGTTGAAATATCCCCCAATGATTGCAATGCGCCTTCAATCCTATCCTCCCAGTAGCCAGACCTATGGCACTCATCTCCCCTCGACTGGATCTCTCCCTGGTACGGGTCCTAAATCTCGGGTTATGTCCATGATGGTGCCATCTACCAAACCGTCGGCTCGAGTGTGGTGGATCTCATCCACCGGTCCACGGGAAGGTTGGATGATGCGCAAAAGTGAATATCTGGTAGGAATACTCTTGAACAAGCGACCACTGAATCCGAGCTCGCTCTGAACCCTTGAACCCAAGCTGTTGAATTGTGGATCGATTGATTTTCTGAGTGCCCGACACTTTCACCCCAAGGCAGTAGTCACACGACTCCAACACTTCCAGAAGGACTCTTGATATGTTTATGAACCCGCGACACTGTCGTCCCTATCATACGGATAATCACGGTAATCGCTACCAACTTGAAAGATCACCATGTCCCTAACTCACCTCCCACACCGAGTCCAACCCTACTACACCCCACCTAGAATGCCAGAACATTTTCCCCAATCCTTCAAACGCATCTTTACCATATCCCCAACTCCCTCAACCACCGTCCCTACACCGACCATTGTATCGTCATGCATCTCCAACCCCCAAACACCGAAACACCGAGCCCCACAGAGCCCACTCAGAATCCCCTGGGCCCCGAGGACCAACCGCACACGGAGAAAACTAAATGGGACGAAAAAAAAACCGAATCAAAGGCAAAAGATTCCGGTACCGGGAATTGAACCCGGGTCTTGTCGGACCGCTGTCATGACCTGAGAAGGCCGATTGAAAGCGACAAATGCTAGCCACTACACCATACCGGAATTGATGAAGGTATGTTTCGGAGTAGAATATAAGTGGTGATGGAAGCTGGTGTCGTCTTGGGAATGGACCGGTAGATGCAGGAGAGTCTAAGTGCACAGCAGTGTACAGCTCAAAAGGCGGCCACTGCAAAGGCAGCAAGGCCGGCGAGAGAATGGTTGAAAACGGATGAAACAGAGTTTTTTTTTTTTTTCGAGTAGATGCAGTACGACACTGCGGAAAGGGGACGCTTTGTATGTTAGTTCTCGCGCCATATCCCAAAGGGACGCATGCGCTTAAATGATTACAATCAATCAATCAATCTTGGGAATGGAAAAGGATGGTGGTAGGGGTCGACGGGTTGGGTTTGAGATTGAGGGTTTGGGAGGAAGATGGTATAGTAGTGATTTATCCGGTAGCGGTGATGAGGATGGTGATAACTTGAACGCGAGTAATTCCTCACAATTAGTAGATTTAGGAGATGCTGGTTAGGACACAAGCTGCAACAAGTTGGGAAGAGAATTTTAACGCAACCAGGAACGAATCGTGATATGAAGAAGAGAACATAAAAACATCAACCGGAATAAGCTTGCAAACTCAGGCTACGCACGGTGGGGAATTGTTGCGGCTGCGCCATGAATTACATCGGTCTACCAAAGTTGGAAGACGAGCGTTGGCTAGGACCCTTCGATCTATTGCGGGTACGCACTCATAACACCAACTCCGAGATTAAAAGCCCGACGTGCAACGCATTAGGGTATAGTAGAGCACGACAGTCTAAAATTCTCAGCTTCTGGTGTCTCCATTTCTTATTACAACATTGCCACGCAGAGTTTTGTGTCCCATCATCTCGTGCCGATGCAGAGAGAGACGTCGGCCTGGGGAAAACGTCACGTCGCGGGTACTATATTTCCGCTTAAGATACATGCTACACCGGCGAAGTTGTTTTTGGTTTTCAAACTCGGTGCCTGGGTGAGGCATGACAGGTGCTATTAAACTGAGGCATGCGAATGGTCCGGGGGGTGAAATGACGTCGATGCACTTCAGTGCAGTGACTCCCACGGTCCAGTGCGGATATCATGGAGGACTCAGCTCGAGGAAACTACTTGAACTCTCGATACAACATCAGCAAGAACAAAAATAACAGACCATCAACCTTGAAACCGCATAGACCTTCAGAATCCAAGGTTCTTAATTCCTCGAGTACTAGTACTACTCTATCGTGTAGAAACCCAACGCGGCTTCACCCCAAACCAGCCCGTCAAACTGAGCGGTAACTACTAACTCGTGTACCTGTCGAAAATTACTCAAGACGTGACTATAACTTGAATCCCCGTTGCTTCGTTTAATGCCAGGAAATAACAGTCCCATCGCCGATACATCTCATAATGCATCACTCTGGATTATATTCATCGTGGTGGAGAGAGCGAGAAAACCGGTATCGACAGCCCCCGGTGAAACAGAAAAGGATACTCGTGACTAAGGTTTTATAAATCAAAACCATCTTTGAGAGTTGAAACTGAGTCTGAGTCTGTGCTAAGACTCCGTGTCCGACTAATCCTGCGGTACTCCATCACCACATCTCAGCTCACATCGCAGGGTGTTGTTCCCCGCCTCATCTCATCTTTACAACCAAGCACCTTCGAGTTCATCGTTTACACTCCCCTCGAGTTGCTCGGGCTTCTCTCAGTCGGGGACCCGGAAAAGATGTAGAGGATGTGTAACAGCGAGACCGATATTGACATTGATGATGATTATGATGTCTTTTAGTGCCACAGTTTCATCATGAAAATATTTCGGGGGCTGACTTTTCATCATCGTCCCCACCTCTAACTTGACGTGGCTTGGTCCTCTCTTGGTTCCTCTCCATTTCCATGCCCATATCACTCTGTATCTATTACATCTCCGAAGGGTATCTAACAGTATTCCTATCTGGCGAAATTCAAAGCCTTTCGGCGTGACGGAAAAGCCCAACCAAGTCCATCAGAGTTGAAACCCAAAGCCCACAACAATAACGACCTAACTAGTAAAGTACTATACAGTGTTCTACTCATAACTCTACATTGCTCAACTTCAATTGCTCCGCGACCAAAAAAAAAAAAAAAAAAAATATGAAAGAAGGAAACCCAAAAAGATATTCCGGTACCGGGAATTGAACCCGGGTCTTGTCGGACCGCTGTCATGACCTTATGGTCTATTGAAAGCGACAAATGCTAGCCACTACACCATACCGGAGTTGTTATATCTCCGTAACTTCCTACATTATATATGTTATCCAATTCAGTGGAGTTGTGGAAGGAATATTGTAGCTTGAACATACCCACCAACAGCAGCAACAGGGATATCTCCACTATCTTTTATGTCCACGCCTCAATTTCGACGCCAGCAACAACCGGCGAGCTTACTCGCCCTGATCGACGCTTGAATCTTGACTTCACGACGTTTCAGTTTCCTGACCAAACGCCCTCATTATTGTCTCCTAGTCTAGTCGACCCAACACAGCCTCTGGAGGAAATGCCTACACCACGCTGACTCAGAAAAGTGAGTAATGACGGATTTTAAGCGCGGGCGCGTTTATGGTGGATTTGCGCCCCGCGATATGTCGACATACACACGACACACGACAGAGGAAATGGGAGTTAGTCGCACACGTACCGTAGGCTGGGGAAGGAATGAATGGAAAGGAAGGGGGGGAGAGCACGAGGCTGCGAGGGGGGGCGGAGAGCGGGTAAGGGCATTGGGGGGGTGTGGGATGGGATGGAGAAACGACGAGACAGAAATAATGGAGGCTGTGGGATGGGATGGAGAAACGACGAGAGAGAAATAATGGAGGCTGGTGTGAAGGATGGGATTTGTGGTGGTGAAATGTGAAAACAGGGTGCGCACACGAACAAGCAGGCATGGATACAAGCAGGCATGGATGGGTGTGGTGGCGGGAGATGTGGTTGCTGATGATGGTGACGATGATGCTGCTGCTTTTTATCTGGTGAATACCAGCCGAGTCCTTTATCCTCGAGCAAGGAGGGGTTCCTCACTCACACAATCTTCCTCACTCACACAATCTCACCCACACTCTCATTCACGCCCCTTCACTCACTCGATCCCTCGCTCTCCCCAGCCCCAGGCTGTGTCCGCGTCCGCCTCCCGTCGTTGTCCTCTCTCCCCCGTCTTGCGAGCCTCTCCCGCACTCTCGCTCACTCTCACTCAAACC